GAATGGGAAGGACTTAGTCAAAGTCCAATGATAATAGAAGAACACCAAAAGGTGCCGAATGATACCGAGAGGTACGGAAAGGTCCTGAACGATATCTTGAACGGGGAACCGAGGTGTCGGGTCGAGGAGGGCGGAGTAAGAGGCTGGAAAATGAATGGGAACGAGAAATGGGTAAAAGGGGGTTAGCCGACTGAATGGTAAGAAGAAGATAGTCATGCTAAGAATGGAAGGTGACTAATAAGAGATGACATGAGAGGGGTCACCGAAGGATGCGGGTAGCTCCGAAAGTGGAGTTGCATATCCGAAGGATGTTGGGTGACTCCAATAAATGAAATGGGTGGAGAAATGGTTTAGGGGTATGTCACGGGATGTCGGAGGTCCGTCGGGATATTGGAGCAAATCCGGAGTCTCTGAATGTTCCGACTCGGGACCGAGCTTCCAGGATGGGAGTGGCCAAGGTTCGGTGTGCTGCAACCAGACCGGAGCTGAGACAGTCAGGAAGGAAGGTGACTTGGGGAGTGGGGAGGCATGGTGTAGGGGATGGTGAAGTTGTTAGGAAGGTGTGGTGTGGTGGGAGTGCACGGGGTCAGGATTCCAGGATATGACAGGTAGGGCATTTTGCCTCAGTGACTCTCAAGGAGCGCTGTGCCCCCTAGCTGTCTCTTGGCCCTCATTTCAGACTCACTGGGGTTGCCTTGCTGGAGTCAGGACTTGGGGAGTCATGGTCAAATCAATATTAGAGCTGAAGTACAATAAAGTATCATTCAGGATATATATAGAGAGAAGGAATGAATGGGAGCGGACCTGGGCCGAAGGCCGAAGGGTCCGGAAGCAAATATCAATAGGGATCAGAGTTAGCCAGCAATGACCATGGGTCAAACAAACAATAATGTCATATCCATCTACAGCCATCATCCTCCACTACCTCCGATCCTTCTCTGCTCCTTTGTCACTAACCTTGGAGCCTCCATATTCCGCAATCACCTCCGACTCCTCAATGGTCACCACCCCCTCAATTCAATATATTACCTATGCCTCCCTAAGTACAGAACTGTCAGGGGATGCGCATGCTCACGCAGGATGCTCCGATAACCTAGTTGTGATTAAAGCCAGGGGAAAGGGATGTCCCCATCTTAGGGTCAGCTATATACATGTAGAGTCCGGCAATAAGGAAACCAAACAGATTGCCGATAGAATCACGTGATCATAGAATGTTCCAGAACAATGCCAGAGATGATCCGGGTCACCGGGGCTTAGGTAAGCGGAGTAGACGGGAGTTACCGGCATACTTCCCATGCACATATGCACAGCCGGCATAGGGTCCAGGGTCGTTACTGATCCCTGACAGGAACCCCGAAGGCCTCTGGACAGCTCCGACGTCTGCTAGCGCACTCCTGCCCCTGCTGGGAAATTCACTTGCTTGCCCTGCAAGCCTACCTTCAGGCCTATCCCTCCTTTCCATTTCTGGGTTATAGCTGTCATTCCGCTAACCCTGTAACCTGACTCGTTGGTAATATTCAGTCGGCTAATGTTTAACTCCGTTAGCTCTGCTCCACTTGGCCCCACCATTCATGGGCCTGCCCTCGCTGTAACTCTATATACATAACTTGTAGATAGGTTACACCCCAGTGATAAAATCGACTAGAGTTATCCCCCCTTTTAGTTCTCACTGCCAGTAAGTAAATTAGGGCATGGACGTGTAACTAGGCACAGTGCTCCTGGTCTGAGTTGCTGAGGCCGAAGCCCTCCACCATGGAGACGTATCCCTCATCTTGTATCCGGTCTCTAACAGGTAAACAAGAAAGAGCATAGGGTTGCGATAGTGGCAATGGTAATGGTAGCAGTACTGGACTCAGAGTTGGGCCGGAGTCGGGCATGGGAATGATGGCAGTCCTGTAGGGGCCAAGTGGGTGGGGTAGAGGAGTTGGCCAAGTGTAGGGGAGCCTAGGGGCAAGCAGGGGAGTGAGCAGGGAGTCCTCAGGGAGGATAGGGCTGAGGTTGGGGCTCGCACTCATGCTCGCATGGTGGGAATGGGCTCAGGCAGCATCGGGATGGGCAGGGAATGGGCCAGAATGCATGGCCATGACACCTGCACACAATATTGTATGCGAAGAACTGCAAGTAACAATTGCAGAAATTTCTACTCCATCTAACCCACATCCACCACCGCTTGTGTGTAAACACCATTTACACACAAATCCTCATGGAACAAGTGAGGAGAAATACCAAAGATATATAATCTTTGGGTCGAAATCTATTTTCAAAACTTTCTTCTTCTTTTATTACTTTTCCCTTTCACAATACCCATGTATCACCGTTCACTTCAAAGTGATGGCCTCACACTCATTCACTCCTTCAACTTCTCTCACCAACATGTACAAATTGCCCACTTTAAAGTGGCAATAACAAAACACTCATTGATAATTTCAAATTCAATGTAATTTCCTCTTTTTTTTCTTCCTCTTTAACCATGTATGCATCACATATGCAACACAAGGGGGGAGAATGTCAGGGAAATAGCCCCAAACCCTGAGCCATATGTAATTATGATGTACATAAAGTCACATGGGTAAGCGGGAACTTCCATTAACTGCTTACACACACCATAGAATACATACCATTGTATCACTTATGGCCTCATGTGCTGAGTGATCCCACTAAGACCTGTCAGGGCCTGGCCTCAGACTCGGAGGCTCCCTGACCTCAACCCCCATCTAACCTGTCCTCACACTATGCGGGGCATGAGATGAGAAGAAGGGTAAAGGTCTCTAAAGGAATGGGTCACATGCCCCAAACTATACAGCTCCTAGAGTTGTGTAGTGTGACCCAGAGGGAACATCCAGGTGGCAGTGCCCAGTAAGTGTGGGAACGTTCTGGGCAAGTTGCTCACCCAGAATTGTGGCTGTGACCCATGGGAACATTCTGGGTGAGCTGCTCACTCAGAAAGTTCCCACGCTATCCTGTGCATGTGTGTACAACGACACACAAAGGCAACAACAAGGCAACAATCAAAGAACAAAGGGAGTGAAGTAGGTGGGGAGTCCGGGGCACCCTAAGGCAGGGTGCTGAACCCTGACAAGACCTCACAGTGGGGCAACTAGACTTGGGGACTGTGGAACTGTGGAACTTTGGAGGGGACCCAACAACCTGACAAGTAGACAAGGTGGGAGCTGAAAGCAGGGAAGAGAGAGAAGAGGGTAGTGGAACCTGAGGAGAAGGAAGAGGAAGAGGAGAGGGGATAAGAGAGTGGAAGTGTATAGTGCAACTGGTGTAGAGAAGAGAGATAGTATATATATATGGAGTGCAACTGGCAGAGGGGTTGGTCAGGTGAGTTGAGTTTGGGTGTTGGGTTGGGTTGGGTTATAGGGTGATTTTTTTTTGGATTTGGATGCTTGATTTGGTTTGGATGCCCAACCTTTGGGAGTTGGAGTGGGAAAACCTCACTGCCACTGCACTTCCACCTTATATGGAGGCCTCTCAAGTAGAAGTACCCACAGTGTCAGCACTCTGTACACTGAGTCTGACCTCACTGTTTCACCCTTCCCAAACAAAGAAATAAAAGCATGCAACAGCACATGCTCTGCATCCAACACCCATTCCTTACAATCTCTTTTCCTTGGATACTGGGTCTATTCAGTACTGCTCTGTTGTTGTACAAGGTTGTCTTGCTAAATGGAATGAGGGAATGCAGATGGCTCAATAGTTGGCCACAAATAACAAGTGTCCAATTAGGGACAGAGAGGTAAAAATGAATTCGGGAAGTGGTGGATCAAAATGGGGATTTAGCAAGTAACTAGAATGGTTGCTGCACTCCCCTGACCTTTCTGGTGATGGGAATTTTTGTACCCAACTATAGTCAAATCAAATAATGGAAATCAGGAATACTGTTGTGGAGACAAGTCTGTGCACCGAAAAATTCCCAGATTAGCAGATTTTACCTGGTAACACACACTACACATACAATGGTTCTATTCTAATCTGCTGCATCACTATCCAACAGCTCATTTCCATATTTTTCCTCATGCACCAAGTCAAAATTCCAATGCCCAACCACACTGCCAACTTGATCCCCCACATCTCCACAATCACACATGGAATCTAACCAACTCCTTAAATGATGGTGATGTTAAACCACCCCTCCTTACCCACAGTGCATTTCCCAGAATGGATATTTGGAGGATTCAACATGATGTAGAACCTCATGTGGTCTTGACAGCACCTGTCAATGGCCATACCTCAAGAACTACTGCACCAATCAATGGAGTTAATCTCTATATTTCCATTTTTGATCTGCTATTGTAATTCCCCCATTCATTTTGTTGCCTGATTGGACACTTGTTATTTACTACCATCTTGGGTCATTGTCAGGGCACACCTGCCTGACCCCACTCCACCCAGTCCAGCCCCACCCGATCCCACTGTCCTCACCCAGTGCCCCTGCCCTCCTTCCTGCCCTTTCCCTTTTCTTCTCTTTCCCTCTCTTCTTTCTTCTTTCCTTTTCAATTACACAGATGACTTTCCTTGCATCAATGTACCATTGACCTGGCCACAGTGCAACATGCCTGGACCCAGGCACACTGGGTGACCTCCTGCACACTGGATGCTTCTGGGATCTCTTGCAGAGATACATAGCTGTGTGTAGATGATGTGGCATCTCCCACGTGGCCTCAGCCACATGTATATAAACATATGTAGCCTAAGTGGGAACTGGGAAGTAGCCTTCTTCTCACACTTCCCACTTCAGCTTAAGTGGCCAGGGACGCCTGACTACACTGGGCCTGTTGCTATGTGCACCACATCACACCCTACCAGGCCCTCCTCAGTGCCAGGTGATACACCCGGATGCTCTTGACCCTGGGTCGGTCCCTGACAGCCATTCACATATCCCCATTCCCTTTATTCCATTTCTAGTTCATATAAAAGAAAAACCTTGTACATAACAAGTTAGTTGGTCGAGCTTGCAAGGCATTGTTTACAGAGTGGAGAGACCAATATGGCCATTATGAGGGGGCTGACATAGGAATAACTGAAACATCGTCAGTATGACCCACCTGGGATAAGAAGGAGGCATACTGTTTGGTGGTGAGGCAGAATTTCGCTTTCTGTATTGTCGCTCTTAGTGAAGAAAGGGGATGATGAATTTAGTGATACTCACAAAAAACTCCAGTGGTCCTACCTCACACATCTCTCTCAGAGTGGCCGCACAATAATAAATGTGACTGATTATGTGCTGGGAGTTCGTTTCTAGATGTACCGCATGGTTGATGAGGTGTTGTAAAGTGGGGACTTGGGCATCAGGAAGAATGGGGCAGGAGGTAGAACCAAGTTGAAGGAGATTGGGGGGCTCCCTGCATAATGCAGTAAGGCGATCTATAACATTGCCTAACCAGTACTGGACGGTCCGCCTGTTGCTCTTATCAAATGTAAGGGTGCCACCGGATAGGCTTGAATCGAAAGTGTACTGATGACAACCTAACCAGTGAGTGTGAACCAGCAGCATAGAAGAAATGATCAATGGAAAGATTTCTCTGCCTACTCGTGCTTTGAAAGTGGGCAGATGTGACATCGGACTCAGCACAAGGTCTGGCACAAGATCCTTTCTCCAGGGGCCAAACTTCTGCACTGTCTCAATGAGGACTCGGTAAAAATAAGACTCATCCTGGGGCCCAAAGTCGTCCAAAGCATCTTGAACCAGATCCGAAAAACTTTCGAATTCCTTGGGCATAGACATTGGTGAATTCAGCGATGGTGAATTCGGCCAACGCCGCTATCCTCCATATATATATAGCACTTGGCACATGACTACATGTGATCGGTATATCATTAATGGAAATTGGGTTGACACTTGCCTGGACAACATAATCATCTACTCAAACAGAATTTGTTGAAGTTCCTTGTTTTTCTTTGTACGCTGCGGACTGCCCATTGAGTCCTATGAATTGAATTTCTTGCACACAGACATTTCCCTAAAGGATTGCCTGATGCTTCCATGTTGATGGACGCAGAGGATGGCTTAAAAGCCACCTCATGCAATTTTCTTTCCTCTCCTCAGGTCACATACTTGGAACCAAGGTGAGATCTCCTTCATCCTTTAACCTTCTAACGTTGTATGTACTCTTAAACAGTCTGATCGGTCCTAGCCAAAGTAGTAAACTTGGGCCAGCAGCAATTGCCATTCAAAGGAGCGGCCCAGGGTGAGCAGTAAAAAATGATGGTATTATAGGATGGTGAAGGGGAGGGAGGTGGTGAGATAAGATGAAGACTAGGCCGTGATTGATGTAGGTGGCCTGCACGCTGCGCATCAAAGACCAAATGGCCAGTGAGAGTGCTTTGAATCAGCAACGGGTTCTGACGAAGGTAAATGAGGAAGGCCTCGGATGACCAGTGCCCAATTGCAGGGATACGATCAAGAGGCACTCCAGCGAGAGCGAGGGCAGTTGCTCCTCCTGAGCGGAAAGAGTGAAAAACCCTGGTCGGAAACCTGAGCAGACAGAAGCAATGTGACCATGAAGTCTCTGCATGAACGTGCCAACACGAAGACAATCACGAGACCTATATAGTCATACAACACAGGAGAGTGCACACCTGAAGGCTTCCTGGCCTTGTAGTATATGTAGCTAGTATATGTAGATATAACAATAAATTTGGACAACTCCACGACATGACAATATAACAATATAACAGGGAGGTGAAAGTATCACGTGACATTCGACACCGTGTCAAAGGTATATGGCAAGCGCAAAACTTGGATTCCTCGACAACTACGGATTCATTTGAAGGAGTTGACTCCATTTTTGAGACAGTAACTCGCTCAGAGCTTTCCCACGGCATCTCAGCGCGTGCGCTTCAACAACATTGGCATTGACCCTCAAACACTCAACCCTCAATCCTTATTGTGCCCTTGCTTCTCCTTGTCATTACCACCATCAACCGGCTCCAGTGCCAAACTACCCAGAACTCGGTATCGCAATACTGGGGAACCATAGGTCAAATGGGAGGATCGGGCACAGCAGTACGCCCCATTTCCACTCCCATAGCTAACCCATGCCCACAGCTACTGATTTCGCTCTCGCTGTAGAATTCCATACAATGCGCGATCAACTTTGCACTGGAAGACTCAGTCAAACATGGGTGTTTAACTGATGTCCTTTGCGTGCTGGGGTCTCTACTGGTTGGTGCTCGGCGCCATTGTCAGCTTGGGCTGGGGCGTCGTGTGACTCGTGTGCAGGCTTGGGCTCATCATCGGAACCAGGGACTCGAAGCTAGGGTTGGGAGGCCTTAGCTCTTTGGGCTTGGCTGGGGGTTGCTAGGCCGTGGAGGTTATGCCTTTTGTGCCTGCACTCTCATGTCGTATACAACAGTTTGGGTTGGTGCTGCTACAGTAGGCACTGCCCATGGGCTCAGGATCGACGTTGGATGGCAACTTGATACTAAGGCCTCTTGGCCTTAGCTTGAGCTCGGTGCACTCTGGTGCTGTGAGATCGGGTACGGTCGCGGCATCGTGCCCTGCACTTGGGGGACTTTAACATCAAGTACGACATTACCGTCTAGCAATGTAGGCACCATCTGGTGTCTCCAGCGTGAACATTGGGGGAAAAGGGTTCATATGTCGCGGTATTGAGGACTGACGACATGTCTGACTCAGGTAAAACTCTGAGAAATTTCAAATGACGAAGGCATCTTGCACAACCTGCATGGACCACCATGTTGGAATATCAATGCTCATCGACAACAGCCAAGCTGCAGCGAGGATTGGGGAGTTTTTACTTTAACTTAATATCATCATGACTAACAACGACTATATCCTTTTTATTTCAGAATCGCGATACCACATGCTCCCAATTTTTCCTTTGTCTTATATCATCAGTTGTCACTGGCAATCGCGTTAAGTGATATTCGTGCCAGTCGTATAAGTTACGCTGGATGCCGTAATTTTTCTCTCTCCCTCAGTTCTCCATTATGAGGCTGAGGTGATACCATTTCCCTCCTATCTGTGTTTGCGCATAACTCATTGTATTTTCGTGTTACAGTTACACGCGATAGGCGAAATATCTTGATATATAAGTTCTCCATTACGAGACTGAGTTATGTGCGATAGCTCCTATTCGAGCTGCTCCTCCTGTACCCTGTGACCCACCAGGAGAGTAACGATCACACGCCCCTACACCCATCTGTTGGGATTTATGAGGGGGAATATGATGTGTTTTTCCTCTTTCCGGGTGCTTGCTTCTTTAGCTAGACACTTTCCTCTTGTACTCAGCATGTAGATAGTCGATATGCAGTGTAGAATTGAGCTCAGATGGAAACAATTGTGTGGTTTCACATGTGAGAATAAGCGCGCAAGTGCATTCATCACTATTGCTGCCGCTGAGGCCAAATGGACCCCTACGATCTGGCCCTTCTTTCCTCCAAATTCCAAGTATGGTCTCATATCCTGAATACTTACCACCCAAGCCACAGCCTCCCATACCACTGCCCCTTTGATCGCTCATTTGTTATTGTTATGTCATTTCGCTGCTTATTCCTCTTGCATGTACAGTAGTCACGATGTATAAGATCCTCATATATATACAGGTGGTTTTACCCTACAATATGACAAGATAAAGGACTATGTCATGGCTTATAGCAGGACCTTTTGACATGATTCTGGTTGCCGCTCACGTAATTCCAGATAGCGCCAGTTGGGTATAAAACCCATATGAGGCTGTGCACACTCTTTTTTCTCTCGGGTGCAGGAATATGGATTGGGATGGTGGAAGGGTGGGCCGCTCTTCTGCTGCCTAGCAATCCAGGCTCTCTAGCCTGCCCAAGAATGGCTGTACACACCTGGGGACCATTAGTCGGCTCTTGCAACCCAGCCAGCATAATTGGTAACCCTGCACCATCCCATAGTTCCCCTCCCTCTTCGTGATGGCAAGTTAGCTGACCACAAAATTACAAGAAAAGACTGTATGTAGATCCATTGATCTCAGCACTTATCCATTGGGGAGAGGGTACATCTTACGTTCTGCAGCTTTCCATTTCCACTCGTTTCATCTTTCCTTCTTTCTGCGCTTCTGATGCTCCCTGGGATCATGACACTTTGGCACATGGGGATCAGAGCATAATCCCTCAAGGTGAACAAGGTCCCAGGCGGAAGTCTATCTAGGGCGTGCTGCCTAAGGCAGAAGCGCCAACTTGTCCATTGTTTTCTCTCTCTCTTTTTTACATTTTGATTATTTTTCTGGTGACTGGGGAAGAGCTGCCTACAAAGTTGGAAGGTGGGAGGGGGAGTGTAGCTTGTTGATTATGTGTCAGAGCCCAATAAAAGGGGGTGCTTGGGATGTTATGGTCATGTGCCATGGTGCATGTGGCCCTTCCTGGTCTTTGCGGCGTCCATCACGGTCCTCTCTATTCACTCATTGAAACACTACCAGCTGCCAATGCCCCACAAGCCGCCATAACGCATGTAACACCTGCGGCGCTTTTCTGACACGCTCATTTTCGAATAGCGTGTCCGCTTCCAAAAAAAACTGTGGCCCTTGTTGAGAATGAGGTTGAGTACAGCAGCAAAGGTTTGCAAAAGCGCCATGACAAATATGCGGTACAAGATAAGAGAAAGGTACTTGGTGTTCTGCCCTGTCTTTAGCACCTATAAATTACTCTCCAGGTACGCTTTACAGCAATAGCCCACAACACGGAGGCACGCAAGCCTAAGGAGCTTGGGCCAGGCAAAAACTAGATGCGTGAGCTTGAGGAGTTCAGGTCAGAGGGGAGGAAAGAACAATCATTCATCATGTTGCTGATTGTCTTATTTCTAGGTTAACGAGCATCATGTTTACACCTTGCACTGCAGTCCCTCCCTTCACCACATCTATGTAATAAATCCTTTTTTCGTCATGTATTTGTCCAAAATCATGTCATAAAATCTTGTCCTGACAAAGCTGTGATTGTATCTGTAATATATCATCTTAACGTTGTGATGAATCCCAACATTAGTCGTGTATTCACCAAGGATTTTATGTTCCGCAAGCACGTATATTACATTTGAGCGACACAGATGGTATGCAGGGATTGGTGGGGATAGGAAGAAGAGCATTCAGATTTCTAGCTTCCCACAGTGTATGTTAGGGTGATGGTACCAGCAATCCCTTCAACGTGAGTACCTCGAACAACGGACTTGACATTCTATATCTTGGAAGAGGTCGTATTGTGAATAGTAGAGCCCAATCCACTCAAGCTCATTATGGGATGGATTCTGTGGTTGTGTTAGGTTTCATTTGCAGCTTACCGGCCATCCATGCGTACCTCCATGCTAAATTCTCGCCAACTCTCCACATTTTCATCCACGCTTGACGGGGCCTCCCTGGTCAGAACCCATCGTACTGCCGCAGCCCATTCATCTTTCGAGAAAGCTGGGTGCTCCTCGGAGCGACCCTCTGGCCTCCTCGTCAGTGTCACTCTGGCTGCCGGAAGGTTTCTACGTTCCCTGAGGTACTTGCTCACTGCTTGGGAAAAATCGTCACGGAATCTTTGGTGGTAACAAGAGTAAGTAGCTGGTGATTTGTCGGGATACTGCACAAAAATTGAATCTCATTCCTAACCTCACAGTACTCCAACATACCTTTTCGTGGAAGTCTCTCCACAAGGCATACCGAGAAAGTCCAGGGTTCAGAGCAATGTGGGGCACCATTGCGTCCCACAATTGTTTGGACCAACCCCTTGGGAAATTCCCCTGGCCCCTCGTTGGTCCATTATTGGTCATCCTGGCTGGCACGAGCACAAGGTAAGAAGCCTCGAGGCAATTTCTCGGGTGACAGATATGGACAGATCACATGTCATAGCCAACCCTGGGAAATTGGCCTGGTACCAACGTTGATCGTATACACAGAGACCAGCTTCCTCCACAGCGAAAGCGAACTCCTGCCAATGAGGTACAAGTACTAGATCTCCGCAGGTCGGGTTTCATGGATGAGTGAACTATGTGTCCCTCGCCGTTCACTCCGCCATTCTTCCCCTGCCATCTCCCCACCATCTACACTGATTATACTTCTATCTCTTCGAAACCGACTCGTGCTTGGGACCTATGACCCCAGCGATGGCTTTCCCCTGTATTTATGTTGAAATTCTTGGATTTCTTTGGGATTATAGTACGCTGTGGCCAAGTGATGGTGAGCCTGCAGCGTCATCTTCCGTTTTTTGGGTATTCCTGCTACCTTAGTCGGTGCGCCATTGCAACGGAAAGCGCCATGTATTACTACGTAGTACCATGCCAAATGAATGTATTGTGATGCACTATTAAAACAGATGGGGTTACCTATCAATAACTCCCAGGGCACCCGTCAGTACGTCCCAGGAATCCCATCAGGATGACCCCATCAGACTGCGCGTATCTGATAGGAGGTCCCGGCACTCGAAATCTGTTATTTGGCCCTGTCAAATAGTGACGGGGCTACCTAGCAGAGCTGGTATCAGGCCAACCCATTACAATTTGCCAGGGTCACTTCCAAGCGAGGTGGGTGTTTCCATGAAAGAACTCCCTGGCAGCCTGGTTGTATTTGATGGTGAGAGTGGTGTTTGGATGGGTATTAAAGTGTCAGATGATGTATTGGTGGTACGTGTGAAACTTGACCACCCGGTGTGGGTATGCCCAGAGAACCGCAGCGATATATTTGTTTCACGCCTCCATTCATTGCCCCTCAGTTGTAAGTTCTGTCTTGCTACGTGAGTTGGATATTGTTGATATTTTGGCTCCGTTCCCAAGCTCAATGGGGTCATTGTACTTAAATGGTGCATGAGCACCTGTCTTCATCGATGAAGCGATTGTCTTTCCAAAGGAGCAGGGGAAAGTCGGGCTGTCCTCCATGACTGGTGAGGCTGTGGACTGCCCTTTGGATGTTGGCATCATAGACATTCCGGAGGACATGGGTTTTTTTTGGGCATTGGTGAGCCAGGCCTCATCTGCCGTGTCCCAAGGAGCTCCTCCATTCCCAATCTGCCAATTCCATGCAAACTCTGCCCTGTGGTCATCTCCCTCGTCACTGACTCGCTTGAAGGTTGTGGGGTATGGTGTTGAATTCGCTCAACGAGGCTTCTGGGGCAGGTTGCACGATTTGAGCGGGAGCCCTAGACGAAGCATCAGGGCCTGATTCGAGAGTCCCATCCAGTAGAGCAGTGACTTGCTCTGGCCCACCACAAACGCCGAGTTCACGCTGCCCTCGGGCCCTTGCTCGTACTCTGGCTTCAGCGGTTTGCTCCAGTTCCACCGTGTACCGTGTAAAGGGGCATCTTGTTGGTCGTTTGCTCATTGTCGAGGGCATCCAAAAGGGCCCCATAGGCTTCACGAAGAGAGATTCAGTTTGCTCCAAACCTGCGGACCACATCATCGAGCTGTTGGAGGGTGACTGCACTTGTCGATGACTTGGGGCGTTCAGTGGGTCCGGTCCCTGCGACTTCATCATGCGACATATGTTGAGTAACTCAGCACTCTGACCGTAAGATGATCGAGTTATGCGTGAGACAGGACTAAGAATCAGGAAGTCAGGCCGAGCGCCTTAGTGAGCAACGAGTGTTTCGCAACAGCGATAGACTCACAAGAGCACACGATGAGTCGATCGAAAATGCAACGTAATTTCGCAGAGACCAGTACTATCTGGTCAGCATGGGTAAGTTACAGGTCCCATCGTGCCACGGGGAAACTAAACTCAGAGTTCAGTTAGGACCCAGATAGGTTTTCATCCCTCGTGCTCCCTCAGTGCCGCAAAAGCACAGAGCACAGGGCCATTTCCAGGCCGCACAAGTGAGACAGGATTAGACATGTGAAATAGAGTACTAAACGTGATTAAAGGGCGATTGGCCATCCGACCATAGGCGAGGCTCCTGATTAGACCTCGCTCTTTAAGGTTTTAACCCCAAGTTGGGTCGGTTCTGACGCAGTCCTCTCATTGGCTCCCATTTCGCACTCATGTCCGGAAGTGGGATTGACGTCCCTGACATCGATTTCAGTGCTCATTTGGCATCCATTAGCACTTTGGCTGTGTTTTCTTAACGCCTAATTGTTTGACACGTAACCTAAGTGCCAGGTTATACCACAGCACTCGGTCGACACACTTTCACAATGATTGTGACGGCACACACACTACACGCCCTGGAACTGTTCAAAGTATAGAGTCTCACCAGTGCATTGGAGCGCATTGTCGCTCTCATTGGCTAGCCGCATGCCCAGTGACATTCCGATCGCATCCACTTGCCTCACATCCGTGGCATATACCTATATCACGCTCAAGCCTCTTGATCCGAGCAACCACCTATGCAAGGACAGCCGCAAGACTGCTGGTACATGGGGTCTCTTTTACCAGCGAGATTCGACAATGCAGATGTACTAGCTGTATCATTCGATCCAACGCACCGACCAACTTTTATTGCAATGCAATCTGATCGCTCGCATCATGAATCACAACATCACGACGTCTTCCATGCTATCGGATCACCGAGTGCCCCGCTGACACAATGCAACCTCCTATAAATATGAACTTCGATAACACTCCGCGATCAGTGATCGATTCTTCACAGTAGTAACTAGATCCTTCGGTCCTCCTGCAATTACCTCGCGCATGTATTCTTACCCATATTTCAGTCACAAGGCATGTTGTAAGTGAACTGACTCACAACCAGAAAGGAAAGATAACCAGTAAGACTGAAGTCTCTAATAAAATAGGAGCTATTACGCGTAAACTCAGTCTCAATACGGAGAACTAATGTTATTGTTCTTTTACCTATTGCGTGTAAACTATATAACATGAAAGTATAAGCAAACATAGATAAAACGAAATGGTATCACCTCAGTCTCGATATGGAGAACTGAGGGAGGGAAAAATTGCAGCGTCCAGCGTAACTTATACGACTGGCGCCAATATCGCTTAAAGCGATCGCCAGTGACAACTGGCGATGTAAGACAAAATAAAGATTGAGAGCGCATGGTACCGCGACTCTGAAACAAAAAGGTATAATCGTTGTCAGTCATGATGATTAAAAAGAAATCTCATCACTCCCCAATCCTCGCTGCAGCTCGGCTGTTGTCGATGAGCGTTGATATTCCAACAGTCTCTGCATGAATAACCGAATAAATTCGGCCAACACCTGCCAATATGAAGACAATCACAAGACCCACCAATTGGTTCAGGCAAGATAGACAGAGGGGCCGAAGGCTCCCTGGCCTTGTCTTGTGAAATAACTGGTGGACGCTGCCTGACGTGGCAGAACCTGCCACTCTTTCCTCGCTGATAACCCTCAATCGGACTGGACAATGTATTTTACCGTTAAAGTGCACATAGAGGGCACAGATTACTCTGCACAGAGTGATACACCCGTGGCAATATTACGCTTTTTTCGACGGTGAAAATTTGTTATCTCTTTCCCCTTTCTTTTCACTTTTCTTACGTTTCAAGGTGTCAATGTGCCATCGGTTCAGTTTGATCAGTACCATCGTATCTGAAGGCCACCATGTATGACCTTCACTTGCTGCCATGGCATCCGGTTTTTGTTATTTTTCCCTGTATCGTGTTGTTGCGAGAAAGATGATTGACGCTTGCAATATAACAACATAGTTATTTGAGAATGGAACAAGTGGGCAGTGCAGAGTCTGGCGAAGTGCAAGTACACTCAATCGATCGGGAAGTGAGACTGAATTCTTGTAAAATTAGTGGGCAGTCCACTTGAGATGCATGATATCGATTGCAAGCTAAAATGCCCAAAGCGCTACATACAAGCTTCAGAACTTCATATGACACAGAGTTGGAACTCAGAAAATCAAATAGGTATCCTGAATAGACATCGCAGTCGGGCCATTGGGATGAGACATTTACGCAAGCGGAGAGGGGACTGTGGTAGCATTCACCATCGAAAATGTGACATAGAAGTTGTAAAAAAAACAGCGTCGTTGATCGTTAAAGATTTATCATATATTCCATGATCGATACCATCGATCACGACAGCGGAGTCAGACAATGGAGGAAGTAGATAACAAGGAAAACGGCCAACGAAGAGAAGAGGGGTTGGATAGAGCAGGATGGGACGTGAGTGCATGGGATGAGATAGTGTGGGAAAGTTCTGAGGTCACATGGCATTCAACACCGTGCGGAGTACTCTCTTATGCTTTTGCACATGACACTGTCATGTATGCATTGAAAGGTGTCAACGTGCCCCTTGGTGGTGTTCCTATGTCTGCCCACAAGTATTCCATTATTTGCCCTTGTGCACGGTAGTCCGTGCTGGTTCCACTGTGATTGTCGCTGTACCACCTACTTTTTCGCTTTGCCTTTAAATAATTTCAGACTCCAAATGACTGGATTGTGTTTGTCCTGAGGTCTGCAAAGCGCAAAGCGCAAGCACTCTACTGTAAATGGGTGCCTCACTGTGACACAAATTTGTGTCACAGGCTCGTTGCCGTCACTGGAATTAGCCGTAGTGACTTACGTAGTTAGCACTTTAACATACATCACGTATCTGAGTTCAAGGTTTGGCATACCTTTGGAGAGTTCAGTGCCCCTACTGACAAGCTGCCCTGGAACACAGGAAACAAGATGATTCTTGAGGCACTTCCCAACGATATTCTTTGCGAAATCATGGTGCATGGGGCTCTTGAAACCCTACTCAGCCTTTCCCTTGTTTCCCATCGTCTTCATCCTCTTGCTCAGTTATTCCTTTACAAATCTGTTTCAATCGTGGGGGAAGGAGCCCCGGTATTGGATTGCAGGCTTCATCAATTTGTTCGAACTCTCATACTTCGTCCAGATCTGGGCCGCATTGTTCGCTGTGCACAGATACGCTGGTACCACGTCAAACGCTCAGAACGTGAGCTTCCAGAAGAAGTGCAAAGAGATGTCCACTTGATACAACAAGCTGCCCAAGAGAAAGGCCTACACTCTCTTGCAATCCCATGGTTTCAATCTGCTTCATGCTATGCATGCTTTGCATTGCTCCTCCATTTGATTCCCAACTTGAACACACTAAGTATCTGTATACCACAATCCCCCTATTCATCCCGTGGCCCTCGAGATCTAACGAAATGGGTTGGCAACAGTATTCCTCCTGGCCTTCGTTCTGTGTCCAAGATTAAGCTCTTCTGGGATGCGTTCAGGATTGAGGATATCACCCCATTCATTTCTCTCCCCAACCTGTCTACTATGTCTTTACATGGGTTTCTTACCTCTGAGGAGTTCAGAAAGGGGGATGTGCCAGCAAAGCAGTCATTGAATCTGCGATCCCTCATGCTTGCTGTTGAAGGGGATCCATTTCTTCTTAACATCCTCCAATTACCTCGGTCACTAGAGGAGTTCGTATGGGAGGGTGAGATAGAAGATGGTGCACTATTGCACCGGAGTCTTGCATTCCAGTGCCATAGCTTGAAGACATTATCTATCTCTATCCCATGGAGCGCCCCACCTCAATCAACACCCATTGGAACGCTTTCCCATTTCCAGTCCCTGAGAAGCCTTACGATCCCTTGTTCCTTGTTCCACGATCCAAACCACGGAGAAGTAGACCTCTTCAGTCTTCTTCCAACAACTTTGGAACAACTGACGCTAGACATGGCTTGTTGGGATGGTGAGACATCCCTTCGACTTGTTGTTGGGAGGGATTTGGAAGAGTGGAAGCAGAAGCAATGTTTTCACCTTCCGGTGCTCGATGATATTGTTTGGGTGTTTAATCAGACGGTTGATGCAGGATTAGTGGAGAAGCTGGCCCAAATAGGTGTTCAAGTGCAGTTCCCCATAGTACACACAATACAATGAAAATACAGGGAAATCGGAACTTGGACATTGAGGACCAGAATGGCATCTTTCACTGCATGACACGCCAAATTCCAAGCAGCGTGAAGCGCATTAAATACATAAATAATGCAAAATTGAAACTGAATTCAAGCTGCCTTCGTCTCAACCATCGCTGTTTACCTTGTGCTCGCTGTCACCCACCTCCTTTCAGCATGTATAGCACTTCTTCCTCACCCCCCCAGTTTCCACTAGAGACGCCCACATTCCCTCATCAATCTGATTTATCGTGAGTCACCATAGACCCCGATCCTGATCTCAATATCTCTGATCAGACAGATTTTGCAATCTGGTCCTGAGGGAAGTGTGGTCAGTACCCTTCCTCATGATCTTGATTGATTCACCAGTTTGGAATCGGTGTTCTGACTTTTAACCCCATTCCACACGCCCTTTTGACATGCACAAAAGTATGCATGCACCTAGAACTTCAGGCTTGCAGTCTGTGAATTGGCTGCGCGGGCATTGTGCGACCTGTAACCTTGACCCGATAACCAGGATGGCAGAGGGGTGGATGGTGGTGCAACTAGAGATCAATGATTTGCATGATGCCCATCAAATGCGGAAACACCGGCAAGTGTTCCTTGTAACAAAATCGGATTCTGATGGAGATAGATGTGAAAGGCCTCTGAACTCCAGCGACCAATACGCTGAATATTTGCCAATGGAGTGCCAGCTAGAGCCAGGGCAGTGGCACCGCCAGATCTGAGGGAATGGCCAGCAAACTCCTTGCCTGGAAAAAGGTTGCGCAATCTACCAATGTACCAAGAGCGTGTGGGTGCAAGACCAGAAGCGCGCAACCGAAGTTCTGGCAGATGTGGAAAGTGGAGATCTCGCGATAAAAGATATTGCTGGAAGATGGATAAAGGGTTCAGTTCATTGAGTCGGCGCTCCAGGACGATAATGGAGCCTTTGAATAGCCAGTCCGCTTTATGCATCGGCAAGACAAAGGACACATGTGGACGAGGTTCTGATGCGAATTTGACTGTTACTCGGCTGATACACTTCCGGTAATCCCGCAAAGACACAACATCTGGGTCAACCAACTCCCCAAGGCGCATCAGGCAATGCCAACCGGTAAAGGTAATGGCAAGGAAAAGGAGATCATCATGAGAAGGGTGATCAGGCTGGGCTGCTAAGATGGTCCGCAAGTTATCCTCGGTGAGGGGACGCTTCCTAGATGCTGGAGCTCCTAGTCGCTTGGAGCACCCAGTCAGGATGCGATCAATTAACCCGGAATTGCGAAAGTCACGGACTTCCGGCCAAAAAGGCTCCAATTCAGCGCAAATACCTGAAAGGTAAGACCAGACAGAAGAGGGCTTGATATGGTAACACATGTACACGGTGTAAAAACTTAGAGTATCGAGGGTAGGAGTAATGGGCCATTGATGAAGATTACAAAACGCGATATAAGATGTGAGAGCCGATGTGTAGGTACGTGCGGTACTGCGCTCGAGGGCAGATCCAAGAGCAATAGCATGCTCCACAAGAAACCGCTCCTTTGACCAAGGCTCTCGATGTGGTTGTCTGGCCAAGGAGTGGGACAAAAAGTTCATTTTTGAGATGCCCCCAGCTCTTTCAGCGGAGGCGTAAAGAATCGGATTACTAATTTTGGCACCAAGGACCTCACACAGGTGAAATTTCGACGAGAGAGAGCAGCAGCCACCTCGTTTCGCTTTCCTTCAATTAAGAACACTCCAGGTCAATACCATGGTCAATGCGGATACCGACTGCCGACATGAGAATCGGGTGATAGGTAGGGCCGGCCTGAAGGGAGTTAAAAATGTCAAGTGAGTTAGAAGAATCGGTAAAAATTGCTACATGCTTGGGGCAGGGATCCAATGTAGAGGACCATTGTAAGGCCGCGAGAATGGAGATGGCCTCATTAAAGAAAATGTTGAATGATCCATCAGCATCAAATACCGGATCACTGACGAAAGCTGCCGAGACTTTCGGTGCCCAAAAAGACAAGCCTAGTTTACTTGCATCACCCCAGACCTGAATGTCAGCTTCTTCAGCACTCCAAGATTCAGCAGAAAGAACCCACACTCCTTCCAGCCTCTTAACAGAATCAACAAACCATGACAGATCACGTCGGACGGACACATTAATGTAGATCCCTTGTGCCATAATGGTTTTGCTGGCTATTTTATCATAAGAGTTAAGTGCCAGCTTGAGTAAGGGACACACGTTCAAAGCCCAATTAGCATCACCAAGGATCCTCAGCCAGGTCCGAAGTGGCTGTCATCGACTCTGGCCAGGGGTATTATTGAGAAAATCGTGAACGGCATCAACTAGATTGTCTTTTGCTTCACTTGTGATAGAGATGGTGAGCTCCCACACGTCAAACATGAAGCCAATGATCTCCAACTGAGGACCATAAAGTTGTTTGTTGTCCTCATGAGGAACTCCAATTTCGTCAAGCAGGCGCAAGAAAAGTGCCTGGTCAGTAGGAAGGAGACGATTGCATGGCTTGTAGAGGACAAGGTCCCCATCAAAATCAGCATTGAAAGCATCATCAACATAATGGAGCATGTCCCAGATCCCTAGGACATGCATTGCAACCCAGCAGACCAGACCAAAGAACAAGCACCATATACGTCCTGAAGCACAATTCCTGAAAACAGCACAATGATCAACGTGGTATTCATTGCCAATGAGAGTAGTTTGATGATTTTGCCAACATGGGTGCATGGGAGGTGTCGGTATGCCTGAGAGGCATCCAACTTCCAAACTAACTTGGGTGCCCCCCCCTATTTCCTCTCATAACGGCACGAATATTTGACGCAAGGTCAGATAAGTTGTCGAGGATTACAAATCCTCCATCCGCAGGAATCAGGGAATTTAAAGACTTCTCACCCACACTATGGTCGTTAACTAACCGCAACTTCGTACACCCTTTCTTCGGAACGGTAAAGATTGGTTGTGCAACCATTCCGGGTAAGAGAACCTTTCCGAAAGATGGGGAATAGCGATTGAGTGACATCTCAAGATCACACCGTCTGTTTAGAAAGAGGCTAGATTCCTCATCTGAATTGGGTGAACCATGAGGGTGCAAGACAACCCCACTGGGAACCAGAGTGGGATTGTCAACGTTGGCGAAAGGCCAGAAACCATAGCGTAGTCCTTTGCACATAGACTGAACCAGTGGGCGGTTCGGGTGTGAAGAAAGGAGCTCCTCAAAACGGTCAGCATTGATTGGAGTAACAACCTTGAACCGGTGAGAGTGTGATTTGAGCGTTTGCGTAATGTCGTGAAAACGGAAATCACTGGCAGGAACATCCAGGAGGGGAGGCGTGACTTCAGTGTATGAGGCAGAGGGTGTTCGAGTGAAGTCGTTTCTCCCAAAGATGAATCGCATGTATCGTGGTCGCTTTCCCAGAGGTTAACTATCGCCAGGCTCAGTTCTTTTCTTTCACTTTCAAGCATTCGGTTGCCCCATGACTGCTTGAGAAACATGACTGGCATCTGTGGTTAAATCGGCAGTCGGTGCATTTACAGCCTCCATGTTTGTTGAACTTGTGACAGATTGGTAAATCATTGAAGTTGGCAGGGCACTTTCATTTCTGACCAGTCTTTGGACGAGACTGGCCATCGCCTCTTTGATTGAGTCCATTGTTCCCAGCTCCACCGGCGTTGAGTCCACTCCCCAGGTAGTTGGGTTCGGTGCAAGGTAGAGTTCAAGGAGGGTTGGGAGGATAGTGTGCAAATCGTCGAAGGCAAGCCCGGTGTTACCATGGAAGAACTTCCGTGCCACTCGATCGTACTCGATGTTGAGAGTGGCATTGGGATGGCTATTGAATCGTTCAATGATGTGGTCGCGATAGACTTTGAGTTCTTGCATTCAGTGTGGGAAGGCCCAGAGAATCGCCGTACTTCTTCCATGCATAGGTCCACTGCATCGAGTTAGTGAGTTTCATTTTACTGATGGACGGACCTCCGGTTGATACTTCAATCCCTTCACCGATGACGACACTGTCGGAATATCGCATTGTTTGGGTGTGTCTTTCCTCAATGAGAGCCCCAAAGTCAGGCTGTCCTCCTTGTGCTTGGAGACTTCGGATGGCACGTTTGATGTTAGCGTCGTAGATGTTTCGAAGTCGATGTGTCTTTTGAGCCGTGGAGAGGTAACGTTCCTCTGAGTTTGTCCAGGGTGGACCTCCTCCCGGAAAATGCCAGTTCCAAGCATACTCCCCTCGGTGGTCATCTTCCTCATCTGTGACACGTTTGAGTGGGTTTTGATAGCTTTTTGAGAGGGGATGGCGGATTTTGGATGGTGGTTGAAAGATATTGACTCAATATTGACTCCTCCCAAATCGGGAGACCCAGGTGAATCATCAGGGCTTGATTCGTGAGCCCCATCCACTCAAGCAGCGGTCTCATCTTGCCTACTTGGTTGCTCACCTCATGATCCTCTAACTCCAGCTTCTGTTCGGGAGCAAGCTGTGACCTCGAGTTGGTCTCCGTACCTCTTCGAGGTGTCTGCACATTGGGGGTCTGACTCTGACTCCAACGGTGCATTGACTGCATTGTACGCTTCGAATATGGACAATTTCTGGAGGTTGTAATCAGCGAGGATCTGATCGAGGTCTTGCAGGAGTGAATCGAAGACACCATCTCTTGGTTGTTCCAGCGGGACTTGTTGTCCCTCGGATGGTCTGTCAGCAGGGACTTGTTGGCTCCCGGAGGGTCGGTTAGCAGAGTCATCTTGGCTCATTGCCAATTGTAACTTAGGTGTAACTTGACTTTATAATGATCGACGATCCAACCCTGCATATTGGATGAGTCGGGGATCTGAGGCATTTGGCCACTTCTCTGGCAGGGGTACTGCCAAAGGTTGCATGTATGGGGGAGCTGTCAACCATGGGGTCATCTTCCTCATTAAAGTTAAGAGGCAATGGGGGAGGATTTTGGGGATTGTTGAGGTTTGGCTGTGGAGAGATGAGGAGAGATGTTTGGTACTCTTCAAGGTGGTTTTTGTGGGACAAGAGGTACTACAGTAGTTGTACTTTGTGGCACTGCCAGCCTAATCCTTTGCGGGATTACCCTGGTGCTGAGGAACTGCATCCAGGTGCACCCAACTCCTGGTCCTGACCCGAAAGTGTTACCGTGGTTGCATGCCAGCACTTCCTTCCATTTAGGAAGCAGTGGTCCCAGTGTGTTTCATCTTTCTTGTGTGTCATATTTCACGTGATGTTCGACACCATGTCGAACCGATATATATGGCATTGCACTTATTCTTCAACAACCTTCTGGTGGAGCAGGATATGCAAATAATATGACAAGTCAGTGGCCATAAGGGATTTCCAACAATTGATGTATTTCTTAGTTTAGTGCAACACAGCGTACTGTTGTTCACAAACAACACAACCAAAACACAACGAGGGTAGCTTAATAATAGTGCTTAGTGAACAACAAGAACATGCAGCGCATTCTGCTTTTGATTGCGAACCAAATCATAATATGTTGCACTGAGAACTCCCTCGATGTTGTGTTCGTGAGCAAGCCTGATGTGCAGCAAAATATAATATACCAAGCTACTATGTGGAGTAGTGTTCTTAAAGTAGTAATATTGTTAGAACGTGGGGATTCGGACGACTCCGGAATGGAATCGGAGACTTAGCATGGAAGGACCTCGGCCTCAGCGACTCAGGCGGAGCGCTGTGCCATTGCTGGTTGTCCTAGGGGTCCCTAATTTCGGATCTAGCAGAGGGAAAGTCTCTTGGGGGGAATTCCAGTCGATTTCGGACTGAGGTTACAAGTTACTAGGTACATTGTATATAAGGAGGGGTCCGGAATCAAAAGGAACAAGGGTAGGACAAAAGGAGACAAAGGGAGATGGAAAGAGGAACAACACCGAGGGTCAAGAGTTTGACTCAATGGTGTTTCCCAAAGGAGGAATGAAGGGCCAAGGCCCAAGAAGGAAGGAAGGAGGATGGGAGTCGGGAATGGCTAGCTGACTGAATGGAAAGGAAGCAGCAGCCCAAATAGGAATGAGGGAGAATAGCGGAATTGAAATGGACAATGCAATAGTTGCAAGGTCCGGAGTAAGTCCGGAAAGTCCGAACTCGGAGGTTAAACTCCGGAATATTGGCAAGGGTAATTAAATGGAATGAGCTAACCAATACAATGGGTATAAGCGGAGGTGGGGTCAAAGTCCGAGGTCGGAGCTAAGACCGGAGGTTCCGGAGACAGAGACGCCAACGGGATTCCGGAGCGGAGGTCCGGAGTCGGGGACATAGGTGTTGCGTACTCGTCTGGAAGGTGTCGAGGTTGGGGTCGGACCCGGAATGTTCCGGAGTCGGACCGAAGGTGGTGTCTGAGCCAGAGGTGGGATAACCTCTTGGGAGTCGGCAAGGCGAAGGTGACGGAAGGGAAGTAGGACTCCGGAAGTCGGAGTTCAGAGTTCCAGGAGCCTGGAGCGGAGGTCGGGATTGTATGGATATGACAAATATAACCTTTATGGTTGAGTTGCGAACGGAAATTATCATTGCCTTAGTGTGCAGGCATACTAGTGCTCAAGAACAGTAATACAACCAACCAGTGGGAGACACATTGTGTGACAGAAATTCCTGTCACAGTCACATGAACATATTAGAGAAGGTGTGACAGAAATTTCTGTCACAGTGGATTCAATTGTGGGCATGGTATTCAATGGCACTTGCCAAAATTTTTTCTCTATTGCACATTCACAACCCTCCATGGCATCCAGGGAAACAACACCTTCAGATCTGGGTGAAGATCTCCAGCCCATCAGGTTCCCAGCATATGTCAGAAAGGCATTCAGATTGGATTCTGTCAGAACACCAGGGGGGCTGAACATCCAATTTGAGCAACTCCTTTTAGAAGGCAAGAATGATGATGGCAGATATTACAAGCTTGATACTGCAGACATGAAAACCAACCTGTCTGGTGATGATGCAGGCATCTCCCCCCACAGGGACTTTGACTCTATCATTGGGTTCTATCAGGGGTTGCCATTATTCAACAGTGTGAGCTTTCCCTTGTCCCTCATCCTATGGATTCTCTCTCTGGTTCCACCAATCTGCATGTGAAGCTTCCAGATCATCTATTCGAGATTGTGAGCCTTAGTGTCATTCATACTCTAACCCTTACAACTCACTTCCATCCAGAACTGTGAACCTGGGGACCATGTGACAGCACCAAATAAGATTGCCAACTATTGCCTTGGCAATTATTCAAAAAATGGCCTCATTAGAATTTTTTTCCCATACTTCACCCCTTCCACAACCCCACCTGGCCCAACCCACACAAATGACACCAACAACTCCAACAATACCGACAATGACAATGATAGCAACAACAACAGGGTCAGCGAGACTTATATTGCGGAATTCTACGATGAAATCCTGCGTCCAGCTTTGATTCATATCCTTCCACATTCCTTGCCTTCATTTCCCCCTTATCGGCTCTTGGGTGGCATCCTCTCCGGCACCAAGGATGGCAAGCTGGTGGGTGGGAAGCGTCTGGTTTCTGCTGCTCTGCTAGGTGAACTGGTGGAACATATGAGAGATTGCCTGGAGAGGAAGAAGGAACACTTTGAATGGGCTCGCAGCTTCTTCTTTGGCCTTGAGATCAAAGGAATCAAACTCAGCACCACACATCCTGTCCCTTTTAACAATGGCACAGAGGAAGGGCAGGGTTCCAGTGAAGGGGATCAAGAGATGATCTTCAGACAACTTATCCTGGGGATGTTTCACAGTGGACTCACATCTCTAGAACAGCAAAGCACATGGGTGGATGTGGGGCTCGAAATAAGCAGGAAGGCCCATGTTCTTCACTGGGATGAATCAGAGCACCACCAAATTCTTCAGGTCCTTGCCACAGGGTATCAGGGGGATGTGGAAAGACAATGGACACAGCCTGGAAGGGAGGGGTATTTCTGCGACATTCAAGCAGGAATCCTATCTCTGGCTGGAGGACGTTGTGCATTGCCTCATCTCCCCTGCTTACCCATTTATGCACAATGGTATGCGTCAGAGAAGGGGGTTTGTAGGAGAGCTGACAGGTTTGACCCTATGCTGGGAATCACGAAAAAGAACGTGTTTGGAGAAAAAACCAAGGATAAACTGAGAGTGGAATTCGATAATCTGGAGGAAGTGTGGAATTCAGCTCATCATGAGAGGACGGAAGGGATGGCAAGATTGGAGATACACGTTCCCCTTCGAAAAGCCAAAAATTCCCTGAGAACAGTGACAAAGGAGTTCATCGAGCAGTGCACCATCTCAGTGCCTGCAGATCGGTGGTGGTGAGTCTGAAATTGCTGGAATATGGAAGTGGCTTACTGTTGAAACTAGGCCATTCAAGCTTCTGATGGCTCGTGCATGTCGTCAGGTCATTGAGGCTCAGATGAATGGGACCCCCTGGCTTGCAAACGTGGGGAGTGGACGATTCCCATGTCCACACTTACCCCACCTTTCTGCCTGAAAATCCTGACATCCATGTGTGCGTTTCGGCGGCAAAATATAAGATCGAAAGAGGAGAATTAGGCTTATTTTTCTGCCGAGTTTCATACCAAACGGTGCAGTATTGACAGAGATATGAGGACACTCAACACCATGTCAAATGGCATGTGCCTATCTCAAGATCCACCAAGCCAAATGGGATGAATGCCATATCAGCACGAAGCTATAGTCAAGGAGAGTCCAATGCAGACGATGGGAAGGTGTTATATACATTGATTGGGAGGGACAACGTTGTGAGGACAAGTCTGTGCATGGCAAAAAGTCGGATTCTGCAGATTCTACCCAACAATGCACAATACATAACCACAGATGCTTCCATTGCTCGTTTCCTGACTATCCAACACTCCATACACTCATTCCTTATTCTTTCCTTATTTTTCCCAACATTCCCGACAGTCCCAAGTCAATTTCCCCACGCCCAACCACACTGCCAATTTCACCCCCTCCCCAGACCTCCATAACCACACATTAGACCCAGCGGTTTTTCTACCCGTTGGTGACGATCTACCTTCCCCCTTTGCCCACAGAGCATTTCCCAGAGTGGAAATCCCATACTTGGATGGTTCAGCATGGTGTAGAGCCTCACGTGGTCTTGACAGCACCTGTCAATGGCCATATCTCAGGAACTACTGCACCAATTGGGACAAATGAGGGTTCGTTGGAAAGCTGGAGACGAGGAGGTTGCTGGCGAGAGGATAGGCGGGCGGTGTTGCGGTGGTAACCTTTACAATTTCTGTCTGGGACCTGTTGTCACAATTTCCCCATTCATATTTTATTGTTTCTCTGTTCCTAATTGAACATTCTTTATTTATGGTTGCCTATCAGCCCATTCAAATTTCCCCATCCCAATCCTTTCATTTCCAGTTCATATAAAATAGAAAATACCTTGTACATGTACATAACAAGTTAGCAATGAATAGACCCATGAAGGAGTAAAAAGTAGTTACATCCAAGTGGCAAAGACGCCATCCACAACCCCATGTCCCCCCTGAGCTTGTTGCTAACATCTAACACCCCTCTACTCATAATCCTTGGCCTTGACATCCAAGAGAGACGTACGTGAGTGTTTAGTTGAGGCTCTAGTAGACACGGTAGCGCCCCAAGACCAAAACCCGGACCTCCCAACCACATACACAATCACTACCACCCTCCCCCTTTTCTCTGTCTCGAGTCTAGGTGATAGACCCGTTACAACACCAAGTCAAAACTTGCATGCCCAACATTCATATTAGGAGAAAGGTCAACACATATCTTGCACATGGACACATGATCTACATGATTGTCCATCATTCCTTTCTTGATTACTCTTTTCCAGCCGCATCATAGAAGGCTTAAAAGCCTTAATTTTTCGCCCTTGTCTCTCCCTCAGTTCGCTTGTTCAGAACTGAGGTGAGCTTTCTTGTCTTCGCTGACTTGGTCAATGACTAAAACCTTGTAAGTATCCTAGCGCTTACAACGTGCTAGGTAGATAAGCAATTCATTTTAGTTGGCTTGTTCAGAACTGAGCACTCACAACATGCTAGATTCTCACAATTCATCCCCTCAAATACCATTGAAACCTGTTCACTCTCTAGACACTGGTGATGTCAACCCACCCTCCTAATCCAGGGAGTATCGTCCCAAATGGAACATCCTTAGGCTCTGTTCGGTAGAAAGAAAGAAACTGCTCGTGTCAGGGCATCCTGTATGTACCTATACCATTATTTTTTAAAATGCCATCATATACGATAATGGCCACACACAAGACTAGCAATATCAAACAACATCACATCTAGTATCAACAAAAACTTATCGCTCTATCAGCACCCTCTCATTGCTCCACGGAAATCCTGACTGCTCTGAAAGTCTTTTGATGGCCCAGTATATCTGTTTTAACTATGGCAGAGATATAGTCAGTGGTCTGATCAGTCACTCATCTCATACTCACCTTGCCATACTTATTCTTACAAGCACTCGGCTTGAACACAGTCCCGCATTCCTCAGTTAAGTGTGTGGAAACTGAGTTCCAAACCTTGTCTTTGATCCCGATATTCGAAGTGCCACCTGCACGCTTAACTTCAAGAAGGGAGTGGACGAGCTCCACTTCCTCATGCGATTTCCAAACAGCACGCTTGGAAGGTGGGTTTGTGGATTCCCCCTTGGCCCGGGGTGTACGACGTCATTTGTTATCAAGGGATGGGTGTTGCCAAGATCAGCATCCATACTTGCAACAATAATTCACGCTTAATTTACATGTGTGAGGTTTATAAGAAAAAAGCTGTTGCAAGAAATGACAACGAAACCGGCATGCTGAACACTCGTCAGTTTCTTCTCGTTTCTTGACAAAAGTGGCAGAAGAAACAAGAAAGAATCAGTCACCTTTTGAATGAAGAAACAAAAAGAAACAGGTTTCTTTCTACCAAACAGAGCCTTAGTATATGGATGATTCGACATGGTGTTGAACCTCACGTGCTCTTGACAGCACCTGTCAATGAATATCTCATGAACTACTGGACCAATTGGGATGAATGAGGTATCATTGGAAAGCTGGAAACGAGGAGAATTATGATGGTAGGCGAGGAGAGCGCCATAGAGGAGTTACCTTGCAAGGTCACTTTCGAGTCCGGAATTCCTTGGCATTTTTCCCACCTCCAGCAATGTCACCTTGCTACTTGGTCTCTTGCACTCACCTTCTCATTTGATTGCTTTGGTCGTCCCTGCAAAGCCATGCTTTTATGGAAGAATTGGTTTCTCTTTGGCATTCTCTACATTCAGCCTGGGCATTATGAGATCTATCCAAGATAAATACACACTCTCATGATAAGAGAGGAACAACACTCTATGCAACAGTGTCTAGCTGCAAGTCTGCACCTAACAATTATTAGGGCTTATATGCAGGGACAGTCCTATACTTGCCCTCACCGACATACAGCATTCCTGTTGCTTCCCTTCTTGGTGTTCTTGGGGTGATCAAATAAGAAATTGTTGCAAGAGTGACGAACTCTGGGATCGTTGTTCATTTGGGGATGTGCACTTGAGATCTTCGTGCCTGCCTGAGTGTTTTGGCTAATTCTCCTTGTTGTACATTAGTCTTTGAAACTCAGGATGTTAGAATTACTAGGAAACAGAACCCCTGCAGAGCTTTTCTCTTGCTGGAACTTTTCTGTGAATTTACTGTGATCCCTTTGTTGGATCTGTCACTCAGGCTTTCTGAGAAATAATTCTTTTATTTAAGTTGACTTTAGTCGATCCCTGTAAGGCTGCACATGCTTTCCCATTTTATTCCATTTATATCTTGCTGAGATCACACGCAAAAGCATGCTTGTTTACTATTTACCAAGCCACATGCATTTGCCGACTCCATGTCACGACCCCACATCTGTCACATCCATCAACACGCCCTAGTGCCACTTGGCCCATCCCGCCCGCTAACATCATCATCCGTCCATCCATCCATCCGTCCACCCGTCACTGTCATCCACACTTCCTCCCAACCAAGGTTGCCTGCTTGAGTGGTTCTTTGTTGTCCGCCCGCCAACCGGACAGCTTGCTAGACGGCTGGATGGCCTTTTCTCTTTTGTTCGGTTGCAGACTATTGTTCTTCCTTTGCCACTCGTTGTTCTTGCTTGCCTTTTGTTGACCAAGTTTGCAGATATTAACTATTTGTCTCTTTCTTCATTCATTAATATCACGCTTGATCCGCCACTCCTTCCAGGCCAGCCCATTTAGTTACTTGTGCTTATAACGCATGTAGGTTACACCGGATGTACCTCAGTTCATATATTGACTTGGATTTCCCCCCCTAGTCTCTTCTCTACATCGTAAGGCTTCTGTCTGAAATTGGGACAACAATGTAAGAATGAAGTGCAGCGCGCTCCACCTGAGTCGCTGAAGCTGAAGTCCCGCCCCTCCGACCTTATGAGCCTGGATGACTTTGCACGCTTTGCAGATCATCTGGATACGCGTCTGACATGTTCCTGACACTCCAGCATACACTTGTACATATGTATATAAAGTAGCATGGAGGGTAGACTGGCTCTTTAGCCTTTACTCCCCAGTTGATAATATAGCTTCATATGTTATTTCTCCTACAACGCTACTCAATATTTCCATTATTTGATTTAGTTGGATACAAAAATTCCCATCACAAGGGGGCACAGCAGCGATTCTAGTTACTTGCTAAATTTTTGATCCACTATGATAATTTCCCCCATTCATTCATATTTACCTCTCTGTGCCTAATTGGACACTTGTTATTTGGGGCTGCCTATTGAGCCATTTGCATCCCCTGAGAGTAATTTTATACTGAGGAGAGAGTGAAGATTTGGCAGTGCAGTGGCAGTGAGGTCAGACTTAGTGTACAGAATAGCAACAGTGTCAGCACCTTTGCTTGTAGTGAGTGGGAGTGCAGTGGTAGTACAGCCAGAGCCAGCATCAAAGTGCCGACAGTGTCAGCACTTCTGCATGAGAGGCTGCATATTGAGTGGCAGTGCAGTGGCAGTGGAGTCAGAGCCAGCATCCAAACTGCCGACAGTGTCAGCACTTTTGCTTGAGATCTTCATAGTAGGTGGCAGTGCAACCCTACCCAACCCTAGCAATCCTAGTGTCCAGAGTGCCGACAGTGTCGGCACTTCTGCTTGAGAGCCTCCATAGTAGGTGGCAGTGCAGTGGCAGTACAGCTAGAGCCAGCATCCAAAGTGCCGACAGTGTCAGCACTTCTGCATGGGAGGCTGCATAGTGAGTGGCAGTGCAGCAGCAGTGCAGCCAGAGCCAGCATCCAAAGTGCTGACAGTGTCGGCACTTCTCCTTGAGAGCCTCCATAGTAGGTGGCAGTGCAGTGGCAGTACAGCTAGAGCCAGCATCCAAAGTGCCGACAGTGTCAGCACTTCTGCATGGGAGGCTGCATAGTGAGTGGCAGTGCAGCAGCAGTGCAGCCAGAGCCAGCATCCAAAGTGCTGACAGTGTCGGCACTTCTCCTTGAGAGCCTCCATAGTAGGTGGCAGTGCAGTGGCAGTACAGCTAGAGCCAGCATCCAAAGTGCCGACAGTGTCAGCACTTCTGCATGGGAGGCTGCATAGTGAGTGGCAGTGCAGCAGCAGTGCAGCCAGAGCCAGCATCCAAAGTGCTGACAGTGTCGGCACTTCTCCTTGAGAGCCTCCATAGTAGGTGGCAGTCAGACCCAGCATCCCTCCAGCCTCCAGCCTCCCAGCCTCCCAGCCTCCCAGCATCCCAGCACGCCAGCACGCCAGCCTCCAGAGTCCAGCATCCAGTCCCCACTCCAACTCCCAACATCCCAAAGGTCGAGCATCCAAGTCCAAAAAATCACCCTATCACCACCCAACTCAACCAATGGGCAAGGTCTAAATCAGATGGTACAGCTCTGAAATGTATTACATAACAAGGTACTAATGTACTGTAATACAATAAACCAGAAAATCGGTTCAGGGGAGCCTTGCTCCCATAAAAGGGATTGTGAGGCACCCTAAAATCGGTTCCTGGTTACCAATAGAGTCCCCTGATCTGCAATAAATCAAATGGAGATCAGGGGCATCAGTGAAATTACTTGTCACTAGGAAACAGCCTTCGTTTCCAGGGGCAATCACTGATGGGATCATAGCAACGCAATTAGGCTGTGTATCACCCTGTTTCAGAGATGATTAGCAATCAGGAACAGCTTACTCAGCCCAGGAACAATTCCAATGCTGTGTATCGCAAGGGGCAAAGCCCCTGGCTGTGCCTGAAAGGCACAGCCCTCCTCCCAGCTATATAACCTGAAGGGCAAAAGGCTGATGAGTCCCAGACGAAAGTGCTCTTATCTCCCTTAGGATAGAGTCCTCCCTTTTGCCTTCTCATCATCACTCAACTTCTGGCTTGGGCAATTAGTTCTTCAGCAACCCAACCCAACCCCACCCAACTACCCAAACTATATATTACTTCTATTTTCGGATTAGCCCTGGTGCATGCTTATTTAAGCATGTTGGGATGTTTCTAAAGAAACATCCCACTGTGTCTGTGCACAGACCTCCCCATAAAGTATATATACCTTAAGGGCAAAAAGCTGATGAGTCTCAGACAAAAGCACCTGTATCTCTTGTGGGATAAGGTCCTCCCTTTTGCTCTGTCCCTATCCTCATTAACTTCTCTAAAAACACTCGATTTCGAAAACACACGATTTGTCTTTTGCCACCCAACCCTGTATCTCCTGTGGGATAAGGTCCTCCCTTTTGCTCTGGTTTTCCCCTCATTATCTTCTAAAAACACTTGATTTCTAAAACATGTGATTTGTCTTTTGCCACCCAACCCTATATACATGTAACCAAGATAAAAAGAAATACAGAGTGGTGTCCAATGTGAGGTTAGAGAGATGATAGGATCCATCCTGCCACCAGTGCCGGTTGCAATATGTGTGACTCGGTGTGCCATGTCGGGTCGCTACATCGACAAGACGAAAGTGATCATGAGATGCGCACAAGCACTACATGTGGAACCTGAATAACAGTAGGACATGCAGCATATCATAACCAATATCCCCATGATGTGCATACCTGTGCATCCTCATGGTTAGCTTTCGCTCCTGTCCAGGTACATATGATGGGTCTCCAGCCTCAGAGTCCCTATCCTCGAATACAACTGTGAGCATTTCATCGCTCTCCTCTTCGTAGAAGGCCCTAAGCAGATTTTTGCCCACACTTATTGTCAGGGCAATAGCCCCGAACCCCGAGTCACATGTAAACTAGATACATATAGTCACGTGGGCAAGCGGGAACCTCCGGGTAACTGCTTACACACCACCGTAAAATACACTATCTTGTATCACTTACGGCCTTGTGTGCTGAGCCACCCTAAGACCTCACACTTATGTTCTGACTTGGATTGAGCGATGCTAACTAATACTGATAAACATGTCACTTACTCCAGCTTTCGGAGTGAATCCAGTCACTGCTTCGCTCCCTAGGGGAAGGTGAGGATGGTTGCGGACCCAAAGGTTCAGCAGCATCACTGTTAGGAAACATCTCATGAACCCTAGTGATATGGTCAGGTCCCCATCGTAAGCCAATGCCAGTTCGTTGAACATCACGACCTCGATGCTGTCAAGGGGGGATCAACCCTGACACTATGACTTTGTTCCATGCAGCTCCCAGCTCCTTCCCTGGTACATAAAATTAGCCTTCTGGCAGTAAAACCAATGCCAGCCCATACCTTCCCCCACAAATTTTTGAGGAAGTGCTACCAGATTTTGGGGTCGTGTAAATCGGAAGAGACAAAATTGCACCCCAATGATCAGTCCATGATATATGATATAGTGATCAGGGAACGAATGGAACGCCACAAAGGCTTGAAGTATGACCTGGCCAAGATGACCTTCGAAATCATCTCTCGGGGGGAGGGCAAAGTCCATAGTGTTGTGGTCTGTGATCCAGCTATATGGTCTAGCTGGAGGTTCTCCCAAGGAA